CCCATTAGCAAAATCTCGGCGCTGAAACTTGCTTGGTTGCCGAGTTGAAATACCCGGACAGACGCATAAAAACGTATAACCATAACGGCAAGTCAGAAGCGTTGTAGTCTAGGTTATAAGGGAACGTAAGCGACTTTTATGCAAATTAGCATACAAGTAAATTTATCTGTATCAAGCATGTAGCGAAGCAAATAGAAAGCAAAGCACACCAGAAAACTAATACGTCTTTGCATCATCTATGAGGTTGTCTTCAATGGAAAGATAAGAAAAGTCCCGGTGCGCAAAGCTAACTCATAATGGTACCTTTGAGTAACATTTCAGGAGGGAGACGAGTGAGGAAGGCAGTAAGGAAAAGAAAAAGTCCGATTTTTGACTTCTGGAACTACGAAGTTCGAGATTTTTATCGAAGTTTCGGCGCAGGAAATGAAGAAAAATTCAAAGCTGTTAAGGGGCAGTAAAAAGATTGTAGTAATAGAAAAACGAGAATTATGACTTTCAGACAGGCGAGAGAAAACCAAACAACAGTTTCACTAAAAGTTCTTTTTTACCAATCCAGATTATTGGATGGTAATCATTATAACACCCACACAATGTGTACCACACCCGGTAAAAAATATCACCCAAACAGTGTTAAAGAACAAAGGCAAATCGCAAAAAGACTGGCTTAAACAGCCGTATGGAATTATTCGGGCGATAAAAGCCTGTAACAAAGAAGAATGGAGAAGTTGACAGCTGCATCAGTGGTGAAAAGAACAATGATGAAATAACAGTTGATCAAAGTGATAAAACTTGTTTTTAGATTTACGTATGCAAGAAATCATTGCGTGTTGTGAAATTCCATTATGCTTGTGCGTAAACTGAAGTTGTATAAGAAAGTTTTCAGGCAATGCTCGCAAAGGTAAATCGATTTTTTCTAGTTATTAAGAAGAATTTTTAACTATTTGCGTGTACTGAAAACCCAACTAGAACTGTCAGGGATATCTGTGATCCCGATTTCTGTGCGTCAGTAGTACTCCGTATGACTCGAATACACGGATATGCACGGCACGCAAAGTGGGACCCTTCCGTACCAATGTGTTTTAAAATGCGCTTTTCGAGCACTTCTACTTCCACAGCATTTCGAGCATATCACGCGCACTACTTCGGATTATCCGGAACAGCCGGTTGCGGATTATAGTTGTATTTTGACCGTCGATAGCCGGCCGACCGTTTTCCTACTCCATCTCTCTTGTCTGCATGTGTTTGGCAGTCCTTCTCAGCTTCAGATTCTGCAAAACGCTTGTTAGTAGCTATACGTGAAAATCGAAAAGCATCTTATTAATTGATGGGGTACTGCGTTTTTGTGACAAACCATTGCTGACGCAGGGCGCATATTATCAAGGCACCTTGCTGGTTGACGGAGAAAAGTGAAAAAAAGAGATTTTTCTTGAAAAATCAAGCCGAAAGCAGTGCGCAGAAATGAGAAAAGACAGATTTTTAATGATTTACCTATACAGTAGTAGACTCGGTTTGCTTTACTCAGGAGAGACGGTGCTAGGGGGAACTTAAACTTCTTTACCACTAATTATGATATCAGGAGACTTGATGATCATTCACCGCTTGATAATTAATCAGAAATTCTGCCAAGCAGCTCTTTTCGCTCTTGAGTTAAAACTAACCTCAGTTTATCAAGTCCAGGAAAAAAAACTTTAGAAATAAGTAAATTTAAAAAAATAAGTTTTGATTTTTATCTCATCGCTTCGCCTTCCATAAATTTGAAATTTACAGCAGTAAATTTGAAATGAAGACAGACATAAGCTGTCAGACAGGCATAAACTCACCGCTAAGAGCCTTCAGCTTTAATCAAAAACCCATTCAAAACTGATGAAGGGAAAGTGGGTTCACACGAATTTGGTATCAAGTAAAGTATTTTAGAATTTATATATAGATAGAGGGTGAGGTCACCTTGCATTCTTTGTTTCATCCCTAAGCTGTAAACACTAAGTTGTGGCTCTAGCCCTGTTTCCGCGACTTTCGCTTCTTGTTATCGAAATCCTTTTCGATTTCGCTGTCTATACAAGCCCTTAACGTGCTCAAAGTAGTTCGAGTTATAGCACACTTCCAAAAAAGAAAAACCCCGCTTTTGACGTGGTTGTGAACAGATTTTTTTTTTAAGAGAGTACTTAAGAATGCTCTGAAAACAGTTCTTATTTCCGCCACACTCCAATATCAAGATACAAACAAGCTATAGAGATCATGGAGGAAGTGAGTTTGAGGACAGCGTCACAAAGTTAGCTATTTCAGGATGAGAAAAAAGAGGCCTTACGCTCTATCATTCTAAACCAGAATATTTTCACGTAGTAGCAGCCCAAAACAGAAACAAACCTGATTTTTTGTGGATATTGATGTAGTGATTTTTCAAAGCTGCCCGGAGGACAAATGGACAGCCACAAAGATGGCACCTGCATCCAACTTCTTTTTCCGCATGAACAACATAATGCTGGAGGAGTTGACCGGGCCCTGGCAGAAGAATACCACAGTTTGGCCAGTTACAACGATAAACATCCAGTTCATTGTGTCCGGATAGATGGACACAGAATTTTTCAAACTTTTTAAAATTTTTTTGGCATTTCCTGAATTCACACTGATATCTCGGCGGAGGTTTCTTCCAAGATTTCTGCTGCTCACTCAATCCTTCTTGTCCTGATTTAGCTGCACTCCAGTCCTCAGCAAACTTTGTTGCAGAAGCTAAACCAGAGGTTCCTGGTGCCTGCTTAGACATTTCGGCCTGCCTCATCGATGTCAGAGTCTGTGTCGCTGTTGGCTCCATTATTTGGGAAGTTACAGCCGGTGCTTCCGAAACATCCTTGGCAATTTGAAAAAGTGAATATAGGTAGGAACTTTGGACAAGTTCAACGAAATTCCGATCATTGATCAGCTCGAACGTCGGATTCGTAATATTGATGGCTTTCACAAGGCGCAGAAATGCCAGGAGGGTCAAGTAGGACTGCATAACGATGATGGGATTGTACGAAAAAGGGGAAGGAAGAGCAGAGCACAGGTAGAAATTCGGCGAGTTAAACTAGCGACAGTGAATTTGTTTGCTTCAGAATTAACAGGGCATACTGGAAAAGTCCTTCAGGAATGTAAAACAACAGTGAGTTAGTGGGTTAGAAGAGTGAGGATTAGCACAGGCCTAACACAACAGAAGGCAAAAATAATCCTCCCGAATGTCACACCGAACAAAAATCATACTGATAGTGATTTTTGAACATGCTAATTTTTGTACGTTTTTGTGTATACCGAAAGCTGTGTTACTAGGAAATAAGTTCTAATTCTTTTTTTTTTTTTCGCCTTTATTCATAAGCTCAGCTTTGCTTGAATTTACTTTTCTTTGTAGTGCT